GTGATCACCTTCCTTTAAGATATTGTTAAACAGTATGTAAGGAATCATCCCACGTTCCCATAGAATCGTTGAGAGGACGTTATCGTAAGCCAAGCTAATTTTAATTAGGATCGCCTGAATTAAATTGCGCAGTTGCTAACTATAGAATTCCGAAGTCGATAAACAGACGAACTTTTAAGTTTGTGGCCTAGACTCTGAATACATTGATCGAACATTTGCATATGAGGTAAAACGTGCCAATCAAAAGAAGAGGTTTCAGGAAAAGACGGTATCTGTGCTCTGATGGTTCCTGCTGCGATTTCGGCTACCTATCATCTACTCTGCACAACTATCACATATAGGTCAGATATGCATTGAGTGCCATGGTGAGATCGCCATTACCGACTACGAATGCGAAAGGGATATCTGTTCGGCTGTGGGCCTTGTCTCAGCTCCCCGTTGTTTATGGCGGTCTCGAAGTTCTAACAGCTCCTCTGCTTCTTGTTATCTAGGTCCAGAATACCAGCTGGCGACGCAGGCAAGCTTATGCAGTGGTTAACATCAAAGTTCCTTGCACGTGCATTGGTATAGGACTGACACCTCGACTATCAGTCTTAGGGGAGTAAATGTTGAAGACTGACCCTATATGTGGGACACGGCTTGTTAAACCCGACTTTTTTCAGCTGCGAACGGTCAACTGACATGTCTGCACTTTCGTTCGCAGTCGTCAGCTGATTTTGGCCGGCACAGCTGTCATCCTCACAGTTATTTTGAGTCCCGTATATAGTGTTTAACCTTTCCCTATTAGGCATGGATTCGTTTGGCTGCGTCACCTACAAGTGGGACGCTGAGTCACGTCTGATAGTTACTTCCATTCCCTGCGATGCAGTGACTCGAATCACGGGGATGTTTATATATTTGGCACACGAGACCCGGACCGGACTTTGCCTTCACTCCAACTTATTCAGAGCCCTTGAAACGATGCAATGAATAGCCTCAGAAACCTACTGGCTTTAAACTACTTTAAGGGCATATAACACCTTCGCGTCTGACGACTTTCGTACTCCTAGTCAGACGCACCCACCGATTTAGCGAAGCATCGTTTACGATGCACCCAGTGGTTGTTTTTGTCGTTATGTATTACTTACACTTCAGTTTTAAAGAGGCCGTTCAGTTTGTGGACGATGAAGTCCGTCCACCAGCGCGAAATGTAGATCCGCAAGATTGATTTCTTTTGCTTTATACAGCAATCTGTCTTTTTTCAGGCCAAAGCTAACAACGATCTTTTCAGTGTAGTATCTTCAAAAGTAGTCGAGAGGCTGGGGAACCACCCAGACAATAAGTCCGGGGGCAGGAGTTTCCTTGGTAGTGGTCTTGGATACAACAAGGCGTAGGTTGTTTTCATACGGTAACCGTGAGAAGGGGTTTTTTAAGTTGACAAAACCGATTTACCAAAAAAGGATTTTGTGAAAATAAGAAAAAAATGTCGTAAAATTTTGTTGAAATAATTTAATACGGTGGCTATAGGCCGACGGCGTTGGCGCGATAAAATCGAAAAAAGGCGCAAAAAAAAACAAATTGAGCTCAAATTGAGCTCGAATCGGGCACGAATCACTGTCGACAAACTTGGAAATGTGGAGTTTTATTCCGAAAACT